TTGCTCGTCTGTCTGGCCGTCTCTCTTTGAGATGATCTCTGTCAAGCGTGGCCGGTGATCGACGCGCGATTTCGATTTTCTCTGCCGGCCTCTGCGCGGGACTCTCACGAGTGAAGGGTAGAGTCTACTTCCGAGAGAACGAGACGAGACTAGAGTTGGAGCGTCGTTCCGAAAGTAGTAATAGTTAGATTAGATTAACATACGTACGGTAAAAGATTTTTCCAGGCCCTCGTTCGGAGGGACATAGCTCGCCGCCGAGCTTATTGGCTCGCTGAAAAAAAAAAAAAAAAAAAAAAAAGAAAAAAAGAAAACTACCCTTCGAATCGTGTACAGAGTCCACTCTCTGGATCGCGCGTCCATCCGGTACGTTGCGCGATACGTTAACTAATTAATTAAATTGCTTGTGCATTGCTCGTTGCTACTTAGTAGTGTCTCGGCTGCTCGTTACCGTCAACGCGAAACTACTCTCCCGTCCTCGTTCTCTCTCTTCTTCCCACTCCCCTCACTTGCGTGTTTTATCGATATCGTACAAATATAGGAAATACAATTCTCGCGAACTCCGAGAATTCGAACTCGCGTTCCATCTCTCGTTTCAGTCAAAAAAAAAAAAAAAAAAAAAGAAAAAAAAACAGTCGAGGGTGAATTTCTCTCGACCGCGTGGAAACACGAGTCGAGCGATTTTCGGAGGACCGGAGAGTTCCCCGCGAGGTTCGAGCAACGCGTTTACGGAATCGGAATTATAGGTACTACACGCGATACGACCGTATACGAGAGTAATAGTAAAATAATGATCGTACATTACTATTAATATAATAATATAATTATGATTGCATGTTTCTATGTTTACATATAATATATGCTGGTAAGTGGCATGTATCTCCTTGTATCGTGTACATGTGTATATACGCGCGCGCGCGCGCGCACGTGTGTGTGTATGTGTGTGTGATGTATACTCGCGCATGTATACATGTATGTATATTAAATATATTACAGTTTCAATCGGGTTAAAGAAGACAAAAAATCAAACAGTTTCAATCAACTGAGAACTTGTTCGAGATTATTATACGTATATCATACATTGTATGCATATCATTATAACACTCAACGTATCTTCTTTTTCAATTATCGAATCGATCGTTTCTGCTGCTGTGTTTCCATTTATAATGTACAATTGCGACGTGCACTACGTTCAACCGTTTTTTTGCCTCTTTTCTCTTTGCTTACTCCACTCCCCTCTCCGCCTCAAGCTCATCCTCTCTCTCGTACGCGCACGCACACAAAAACACCCCTCTTCTCTCTCTCTCACTCTCGTACTGTCACACCCCATACATTCTTATAAATACCTCGAAAATTAATAACGATCATAGTACCAATAAATCAATAATAATATTATAATAATAATATAATATAATATAATATAATATAATATAATATAATATAATATAA